TTTCCACAAAGTCTGTGCGCCATAAAACATAATCCCCCTCCTGACAAGGTGGCCCGCACCAGGGAAAGCCAATCATTGGGCATGAGCCAGTTTTCACTTATATTTTCAAGGAGGGCTAGTGTGTACGGGGCGGTAGGCCCGTAGCCTGTCATGGCCGATTTCAGCTCCTTTAATTCTTTTAAGTCTCAATTGGCCTCCAACATCAGGGAAACCCTGTCTCAAAGAGACAAAAAAAGGGGGGATGCTCAAGATGGAAGGGAGTATTCTCTAGGCCTTCCATTCCTTTCGCTTTGTAAGGACAGGGCTTCATTTCTGGAGCCCATGACTTTAAACTTCCCAGCTTTCAGAACTGTGAAAAATGTATTTCTATTGTTTATAAAATGCCCAGTGTGTGGCAGAATAAAGAAACTATGACAAGCCAATTAATCAGATTTTCAGTTTTTTAGATATAATGACTTAAGACCAGGCTGCAGCTCTTTAAAAGTAAGTCTATTTAGAAAAAAAAAAAGTAAAACAATAACCATTACCTATTTAGTGGTAATATGTCCAGTGTATTTTCTTCTGTTACTTTTTCAATAAACCTTTAGAGAAAATGATTTTGGTAGGGTGTGGGGCACCAGCTTATAAACTAACATTCTGAACAGATGAGTCGGTCAATTTGCCCAGCAACCACAGCTAATAAGTAGCATAGCCAACATCAAAACCCAGGCACACTGCTCAGATCCCATCTTCCTGCTGCATTACTCTGCATCCATAAACAATGGATCAGAACAGTGCACACATCTAGATAGGAGCTATGAAAATAACTGTAGTTTGGGACATAATTTGCTGTTCCTCTAGGAAACCCAGAGAGAAAAATAAACACTACATTGATGAAATAATCCTACACATTGCATTTTTACCTGTCAGAAGTGTAGCCAAAAATAAATGCTCCCAGCAAGACTCCAAACATAAATAAGGGCTGGATCAGGACTGCATACCATTTTTGGTCACAGACCAGGTTCAATTCACACACCACAGAATTTCTCCATTTGCTTTGGTCATATACATAGCCATCAGAGCAAGGAATGTCACGCTTGTAGCCCGTGTACTCATAGTTCACATGGGATGTGTTCTCCCTCCAAGTCCTGCTACACCTTGTGAGTTCCCAGATCTCCCCATTCTGCAGCTCTACTGTGATATGATCTTTCTGGTCTGGGGACAGCAGGGCCAATATGTCCTCCAACCTCCAAGCAGAAAAGTTGTGGAAAACAGCCTTTTTCACTTGGTCCGGGGATTGCAGACATGCTCAGGGATAACTGACATGACCACAGAACTGAAGTAGTGGATACCGCAAGCCATGTTCTGGTAGGCACATATAACATATAGGATTACCTGGAATCTGTAAAGAGAAGAAAGCACTAGTTATTGTATCTGACCAATCAGTGGGAAAAGAACACAGGGAAATAAATATGAAGGGTCTCGAGCAGGTTGACCTTAATACATATATATATGTGCCTGTGTGTGTGTATGATACATATATACACAGAGATGGGTAAATACAGAAATCGTTGTAGGTACTGTGTGTGTGTGCCTGCACACGTGTGACCTAGCTCTGTTTACTGAGATGATCTAGAAGCAATGACAAATCAATAACAGCAAACACATCCCTTCCAAAATCTTGGTTTCTAAATATTATTCTCCAATAAAAGGAGCCAGGAAAAAAAATAGCTGGTCTAAGATCATGACACAGAAAATACAACATAAGCCTGGATATTGTATAGTATCAGAACACAAGAGAATGCTCAAAACACAAAAAGATGAGGACACGCAAAATAGAGGGGGAGGAGAACCAACCTGTAAAGGCTCCTAATATTGAAAGATGAGACTGCTTAATCTACTAAATAAACAGTGTATAGTCCAATGTATAAAATAAACAAGCATGAATCTATACTGAGATGTGTCAACTTGACTGGCTTTGAAAAGGCCCAAGCTGATATAATGCTATTTATGAACGTGTCTTGTAGGTGTTTTCAGAAAAGATTAGCCTTTCAGTCAGTAGACTGAGCAGAGCTCAGCCTTATCAATAAGGTGGGCATCATACTGTCCTTCAAGGACCTGAATAAACCAAAAATGTGGAAGAGCATGCTCACACTTTCTAATGGAGCTGGGACATTACTTTTCTCCTGTCCTAAGACAACCAGAGCTCTTATTTCTTAGATGCTTGGACTCCAATTGGGACTTAAATTCCAAGTCCATCATTTCTCAAGTCTTTGGTTTAGGACTGAATACACCACTGGCTTTCCTGGTTCTCCAGGATGCAGATGGTAGTGTTATGGAAAAAATCAGAGACCAGCAGCCAAAGTCAGGTGAGGAGAGGGAGTTTAATATCCTGCTAGCAGGACTGACCCATGGGTCCTTCAGTAAAGGAGTCAGACCCCTTGTTTAAGTTTTGGGGGCTTTTATATTCATGTGTGAAGGATGAAAGCAGAAAGTACATAGCACATACATTATAAGTAAGGTAACACAGGGCTGCAAAGGCTACAGGAAGGTGAGAGCCTTGGGAACCAAAGAATTCTATCCAGGGGCGCCCCAGGGGGCAGGGGGGAAGACTCCTGTTCACCTCCCCCATCTCTATCTCCTGTCTCTGAGCTTTTCCTGCCCCCAAATTCTTAATTACTATCACATTCCAAGAGCTTTTAGCATCCATTTGGTGGGCTGTTCTGTTTCTATTATAGCAGTCATGGAGCTGCTCAACCTTTTTAACCATAAGAACTAATTCCTGCAGTAAATCACTCATACACACACACACACACACACACACACACACACCTCTGGAGATCCCTGATAAATACAGACTTGGGTTCCAAGAATGATTCTAGAGGAACAGAATTTCCAGAACAGGTTTTCTCCGTTGGTTATAGAGTTTCCAGAATTGGCTCTCCAATTCAATTTAAAGATGCTAAAAATAAAGAGAATACTGATAATTCATGGTATGGACTGTTTATAGAGATACACAAAATGCATGTACTAGAGACATCTCATCAACCGTTTGGAAGAGGCAAGAAGTTTAGAGACTGTATAAAATACCTTTGAACAACTAAGGAATATAAGTGCATGGGTTGGCTGTTCTTGTCCTTGAGCTGAGTGGTAAAAGAGGATGAGCTCAGGGGTTTTGACAATAAGAGCTGCATAAGAGACCTGAAAGCATCTAGGTGGACTGTACCCTTGAAGAGATACATAAAGATATTTATGTCTTTGTCTGTATATAGGCTCCTATATACATATACATATTCATATGTATACACATGCATACACAGATACATAAGGAAGAAGGAAGGGGACAATGAAGAGAGGGAGGGACAGTGTTCTATTGGCTCATTTCTCTAGAGAATCTTGACAAACCCACACTAATAATGATTGAACAAATGAAAGGAAAGAGGTCAGTCTTTCTTGTAGAGTTCCAGTTACTATCTGTAGAGTCCCCTCTCCAGGGAGTACAGTTTAATTCCTACAATTCCTTGACAGTGCATCTGACTTAGTGTCTTGTTTCCAAAGAATAGAGTGGGACTGAACTATCTCAGCTAATTAACCTAACCTAAGTTATTCCATTTTGCCTAGAATAGCCATTTCAGAAGTGCCCTTTCCTCTACTCATGGGAAATACCCAGAAGGGAGAGGCAACCTTCAGTTCCAAGAAATGGCCTAACTGCAAAACCACTGAATGTTCTGATCAGGCCCTGCACCTGGCTAACTGCTTAACTCGCTTCTGTAAGCTCACCTCACTTGCCCGTGCAATAACAGGTTGCTGATTGGTAAATTCAAATTTTGTTATGTGAACCTGATTGGCCCACTGATGTTCTGTTTAAACCATGTTTCTGTAATCCTGTAAAACCTCTGGCTGGCTGATGCTCGGGGCTGCTTCTATTCCCAACATAGACAGCCCAGTCTGCCAAAATAAAACTTTACCTTGCTACTTTTAATTAAGTGGTGTTGGTGATTTTTATTCGGAATCTGGCATATAACAGGATAACCTAAATTAATTTTTTAAAAGAAAAGCCATCTAAAAAAGGAGTAGCAAAAGAGGAAAAGGAGTGATTTTGTAATGAGAAAACCTAGCAAACACAACTTTGCCAACTACAGATGGTTAACATCACAAAGGCATGATGTAGCTGTATGATTTGATGAGGATGCTTCACCTCTGTGGTTTTTCTTTTAAAAAAATAAATAAAAATAAAAGCCCACCATTGGAGCACAGCTATAATCCCATGGCTGAGGAGGTGGAGGCAAAAGGATTAAAATTTCAAGGTCAGCCTCAACTACAAAGTGACTTTGAGGTCAGCCTCGGACACATGAAATACTGTCTCAGAATTATTTTTAAAATGATGGTCAAGGTCATTTAAAAAAAAAAAAAAAAAAGGAAAGAAAAACTGAGAAAACTGCCACAGACCAGGAGAGCAGGAAAGTAAGACAACTAAACATGGTGTGGCACTGTGATGTCACCCTGCCTGGAAAATCTAGTGAAATTCAAAGAAAGTGTGCAGTGAGTCAATAGTAAAGTATTAATAAATATGTCTGACAAATTGCCAAGTCTGTGAAATGCTAGCTGTTCTATTCAGCTCTCTATTGCTGTGATAAAAACACTGACCAAAACCAACTTGGGGTGGGTGGGAGGGAAGGGTTTATTTCACCTTCAACTTACAGTTCAACATGGAGGGGAACGAGGGCAGGAGCTCAGGGCAGGAACCTGGAGCACAGACCACGGAAGAAGGCTGCTTACTGGCTTGCTCCCTTGGCCTGCGCTCAGCCTGCTTTCTTTTTTTTTTTTTTTTTAATTATTTATTTAATAACAACATAATTAGAAGAAGCATTTTATTACAACAGCATTGACATATTCAATAACAATTTCCAGAGCTAAGATGCATCACTTTCAAAATTGGCTGTAAATTTTTGGGTTTACAGTTGAATTAATACGGTTATATAATATTGTACTCAGTATAAACCCTGTAAGACATAAAATCGAATGAGTTTTTAACCTTTAAAAAAGATCTCCATTTCATTTAAAAATATGCTGTTTCCTACATTTTTAATGCTACTAACACTTAGATGTTTGCACATGTCTTTAATCTCTATATATCTGATGATTACTAGAC